GCGCCGGCGGTTACGCCGGCCACACTGGACCTGATGGCACGGCGGCGGGGCGTGCTGCGCCGAGAGGGAAGGTCGCCTGCTTTCCGCGACTTAGACAGGGAGGTCAGGTCCGCTATCAGGCGCGATTGTCGTGAGGACATTCAGGAGAGGCTGCGTGATCCGAGGAGCAGTTCCCTCTACCGTGTCATACGACCAGTCATCGCCGGCAAGCGCAGCAGCGCGCCCAGCCTTCCTGCCGCCACACCGGATGAGATAAACACCTACTTCGTGAATGTCGGACCCCGTGTCGCGGCCGGCCTGTCCGATCTCGGGCCGCCGCCGGACATTCCGTGCCGTCTGCCGCGTGTGGGGGCGTGCGGGTTTCGGGTGTCGGGCACGACGCTGGGCGCCCTGCGGGAGGTCATGTTCTCCATGAAGCGTTCCGGTGCGTGTGGGTCTGATGGTATCTGTATTCGCATCCTAATCCTGTCTTTCGAAGCCATCGGACCTATCCTTCTCCACATTATTAATACCTCCCTTACCACTTGTGACATCCCTGATACCTGGAAGCATTCATTGGTCCATCCTATTTTCAAATCTGGTGACTCAACTCTGATATCCAATTACCGTCCTATTTCCATAATTCCTGTCATCTCCAAGGTTGTCGAGCGTGTGGTGCAGCGGCAGTTGCTCTCATACATGTCCGACAATCACCTCCTGTCCCAATCCCAGCACGGTTTCCGCCCCCGTCACTCCACTGAGACCGCTCTGCTCACAGTCACAAACCGGATCTTCTCCAATATGGACCGTAGCCACCTCTCACTCCTTTGCCTCTTGGACCTCAGCAAGTGTTTTGACGTCATTCCACACAACCAGCTCCTCACCAAACTCCAGCAGTACAACATTCACCCAGCCTGGTTCGACTCCTATCTCTCCGGTCACACTCAGTCCGTTTCTATCACATCTTCCTCTGGTGACAGAGTGGTCTCAGATCCCCTCCCTAATACCATGGGTGTCTTCCAGGGATCTGTCCTTGGTCCTCTCCTGTTCACCATATACGCCAACGACCTCAGCCTGCACGCGCCGGACGCTCATGTGACCCAGTACGCTGACGACACCCAAATCCTTCTATCCGATACCAAACGCAACCTTCCTTACCTCATCCAACGCATGGAAACCACCCTCTGCACCCTTTCGTCATGGTTCCATGCCCATGGCCTAAAGCTCAACGCATCCAAAACTGAAATCCTCCTCCTTGGTACCAAACAGAACACACGTGGCCTATCCCCTGTCAGCGTACGGGTCGGTGGGGAGACCGTTCAGGAGAGCCTGACCGTGAAAAACTTGGGCTTGATCTTTGATCGCCACCTTACCTGGGACGCGCACGTCAGTGACGTGGTCCGTCGATGCATTGGCCTCCTGATCGGTCTCCGTCACCTGAGGCATTACCTCCCGCGGGGTGTTCTGCGAGCTGTTGTTGACGGTCTTGTCCTCTCGCGCGTGAGATACTGTATTTCTGTTTATGGCGGCGGAACCTCAAAGAATGATGCGAGGCTTCTGAACATTATCAACTTTGCGACGAGAGTGATCACTGGCTTAAGAAAATACGACCACATTTCTCACGCGCGAGAGGACCTCAGACTTCTCTCCCCCTTACAAATGTATGAGGTGTCGACTTTGACGGTAGCCCATAAGGCGATCACCAATGGCGAGCCTGTGGACATCTCTACTCTGTTCACTACGTTTCGTGACTCGCGCCAGCAGTCCGAGCGCAGTACGCGTCAGGATCGCCTTTTGAGGCCTCCTGCTATGCGAACGGCCGCCGGGCAGCGATCGTTTTTATATCGCGCAACATCACTTTTAAATGAACTGCCTGTGAGTATCGTTGAGCTGGACCCCATTTCTTTCAAACGTGCCGTGAAGATGGTTAAGTGTAATAGGGATATGTAGTGGGAGGGGGAGGGGGCATAGGAGTGCAAGCTTTATGATGTGCACGTGTGCCTGATGTTTGCCTGTTTTACCCATTCCGCCTTTTACCTGTTTTTATATTGTGACTATCGGCACAGAATAGCCACGCCGGTGTATGTGGAGTGCTGGCAAAAGTCAATACAATATATATGTAGTAGCCATGACTTGGCCAAAGTGGTCAGGCTAATTCAAAATGCTCGCATAGCACAGCCACAGCGGTTTGACGATTAGATATAAGCTGCGATCGTAAGCGACGATCGTCAAAAGTAAAATTAACAAAGTATTTTGGACTGTTTAACCCTATTAGTGGCAGGCTCCTGGCTACCCCTATTAGCGGCAGGGGGGGGCTGTTTACGACCCCCCCTTGATATCTCGAGATCTAACGGGCCGATTTTCAAAATTCAAACGGCATTCGATTTCGCTCAACGTGATCTACATTTCTAAAAATAAAAATTAAAAAATGTCAATAGGGGGGTAGAGGGGGGTAAAACCGGGCAAATTGCAGATACATTTTAGACTGTTTATCACGGCCAGGTTTCTGAACCAATCTTAACGCAACTTTTGCTGATCGATAGAGAATGAACCAGGAATTCACATGGATCCTAAAAATATGCATTTTCAAAAATCATAGGCGGATACAGATCATTGAGATTGGGGGTACACAAAAAGTATAGTAAATAAGGTTTTTGTTGGTACTGTTTCTAAAAAGGGTGGCAATGGTCTTGTTATGTTACAATTTTCTTATGAGAAAACGACTACAATTGTATTGGTCATGCATAGGCGGTGTCAGGGCACCTATGTTGGGAGGTAAAACATAACCCCCTTTTTGGACGCCTGGATCCGCCTATTATAGCAATAACGTGTCAAAAGAGGATGCACAATAACTTTGTATATGTTATCACATGACATGATACCTTTCATTCAATGTTCGTAAAACTGGTGTATACAGTTATAATACATCAGCATCGTGATCTTCGCCACAAATGACTCGCTTCACGAATAGGACCCCCCAATTCCCAGTGCTCTGGAGCCGCCCCTGGTAAAGGTATGAACTTGAATTTTTCAAGGAATGTGCCCAATTTAGTTTTAGGAAAAGTCAGAAAATTTCAGCATCGTAGCTTCAGCGGTTTCGGAGATATTCCCGAAAAACATGAGGGGTGGATAAAAACAACCCCCCTGCCACTAATAGGGTTAAAGATAGATCGTAGACCAGACCTATACATGTTATAGAAGGTTAGACTTTCGAGATTTAAGCATTTTGAACACATCGACTCATAAGCAGAGAAACGGCATTGAAAAGTTTTTAAATTCATCACACTGCACTGCCTCGACCGCGCTCGCCTGGTGGGTGGAGTGGTGCGGAGGAGGCAGAATACAGATTAGAGTTGCAAAGTTTTCCCAATGGGCTGCTACCGGCACCGCCCCGCCCCACAAACATTTTCTGGGATACCGGCATGCTACCACGCCCCAAGCAAAAAAAAACCGCCAAATTACCGGCATACTAAAAAACCTGCATTCTTGATTCTGGCTTACCCCTACATGAGATGCCACATTTTGGCAATTTCAGTAACCGCCCCACCCAACAGCCACCCATTGTCCAACTTATTACAATTCAATAGCCTCTTAGTGTCCAAAGTTTGAATCATATGCTGATAATTTTTTGTGCAAAATCAAAAATACCGGCATGCTACCGGCAAGACATGCCAGATACCACGAAAAAACCTGCGGTAGTGAAAAATTACCGGCATGCCGGTAGTGCGGTAGGGAAATTTTGCAACTCTAATACAGATTCTCCGCTACACTATTCCGCAAACAAATACTAGCCCCCGGCCCGGCCGGGTTAAGTTATTTGCACCATATTGTCAAAATTTTACAATTGTGTATTTTTCATAACAATTTTACAGTACATTTTTTACATCGTACAGCAATATAAATGGCACCATCGTGTTCCTGGGCTCAAACTGCATCTGCTACACCTTTTTTGTTGAAAAAAATTGTTTTTTAAAATTTGACCTTTTCTGACCTGAAAGACGACTGACCTCCGGTTAATTCAGCTGAAAATTACCTCAAATGACACAGACGACATTGTTTTCGAAATCTACGAGTAAAATGGAGCATAAAACATGCGTGACGTAACCAATACATGATATACAATTTTCGTGACCTAGGATGACCTGGCCTTGACCTGAAAAAATCTAAGTAAAAGTTTGGTACTCTCAGGGGCATCTAAAGTGCATATATCAAGCGTGTCTAAGCCCAAAATGAGCCTGATGGGACTTGTCAGCCGGTGGTGAGAGCCTAAATTGTGAACAAGCAAAAATGCTGATAATCTTTACTTTGACCTAACCTGTGACGTCATCAGTGACCTCGGGGTCAATGAAAATAGCTTTCGCCCGACAGTTTTTCCACGGCTATCAGACGCTCTTTGAATTATGACGATCAGCGCAGCAGTTTCGGAGATAGGAGGGGGGATCTGGAGAGCCCCCCCCCCCCCCCTCAGTCACTCGCGTTATGGAAAATACCCCAAGTCATGCGCGGGTTAACAACTTGATGAGGGTGGCCCTCGAAGTGTGCCAGTGACTGGTGGGATGTGTGCCTTTAGCAGCAGTATGGCAGCTGCAGCCTGCATAAACGGTAGCTGAGGGACGTGACAGGACAGGACAGGATGCTTCAAATACAGCTCACCGGTTCGGAGTCCAGGGCATCTGTTAGGATCGAGGTGGCGGTTCACGGGGTCGGGAATCGGGATAGAGACGAGCGGCCGTCTGATGAAAAGACCCTTCCCATGGTCGGTCTGCGTCTGGAGCGAAAAAGGGCTCATGAAGAGCACGCGCTCAATGTTAAGTGCATGACTATGTCTTCCAAATTTTTCCCTGTATGAATGAAACAAACAGGAAATATGCTTACTATTAGTACCGCTTTGAGCCATCTCAATGATCTATAGATCATCTGGTTTTCTTAGAATCGAGCTCTGCTACGTGAATATTGGTCCATCTTATCAAATATCACCATACCACCAAAATAAAGCCAAAATGCTCACTGTTAAAGCTCACTGTTCACGCACCCATATATTACCAGCCGTTCCTCACAGGGTAGGACAGGAGCATACCATACACTGGTCATAATGCCGAGTCGAACATATTAGAAACAAACATCACTCCAACATAAAATGGCGATTGAGCAAAATAATATTTAATCAACGGGCATTCAACACCGTCAATATACAAGTACATATCACCAAGGCATAGACAGATAACAATGACTATTCCTTAGCTAGAAGCTACCTTTCTGAAAATAAATAAATAAAATACGAATGCCATGTCAGAGGAGCTTCAAATGTAACATTGCACAGCATGAAAATCGTGGTAATCTAGACCAATCGCCGTTAGAAATTCGACCGCCATTAAACTCGGCGACATTAATTCCAATCTTGTGCACCAGTATAGCATGTTCCCTGCGGATAAAAACAAAATACCGGAGTGACAAGAAATGCCCGATCAGTGCCCATTCGATCGCTTCTCTACGAGCCGGCACAATGCCAGCCGCCTGCTCGTGTACCCTGTGTCGGATTTTCCTGGAGGGGCCGGTTTGTGACGCTTCCGCGGCGTACCTCGGAGTCGGCAGCGCGCGTCGCTCGAGAGAAAGCCGGCCGCTGGCGCGCGCTGACCCAGTTGACCGAGCCGGGAGGATGTGCCGGCAGGTCTGGCAGGTCTGCGGCAGACGACACCAACCGGAACCGTCCGACCGGACCAACCGGACCAACCGGACCGGACCGGACCGGCGCCGGCGAGGCACGGGTGCCGCGCGCGCTGCGACCGCCGGCGACCGCCGGCCACGGCGCTGTGGGTCGGACCGTCTGCCAGTGGCGACCTCCCAGCGGCAGCGGCAGCGGCAGCGGCAGCGGCAGCGGCAGCGGCAGCGGACCCAGCCGCCCGCCGGCTCCCAGCCGTCAGTCAGATGAACACATCACGTAATGCTCATAGGTATATCGGCGCACCGCGCACACTGCACAGTCTCACACTGAACTCCCGACACGTCGTGTGAGTCCCACGTCTGTCCACACCTGCCGCGAATCACAACTTCACTCGGCTATCACCGTTCTGATCGGCTCCCCTCTCCGACCCTCGGCAGTCGGACCCGGCAGGCGCCGCTCCCCTGGCGCGTCAGCGCCCAGAACGCGTCCAGGTCACCGTCCCGGCGCACCACTGCCCGCCAGACCGGTCTCGCACAGCCAAATCCGCGACGCGCGTCGCAAAATGGGTCGTCGGGCGCGCCGAACGCGTCACGACCGCCGGTGTCGCGAGCTTTGCCAGGCCGTGTAGCGCTCGGGCGACATGCGCCGCATGTAGCCGTGCTTGGCCTTGTATTTGAGCTGGTTCCTGTGCGCCTCTCGGCGTAGCTCGTTGTCCTCGTAGTCGGCCACCAGCTGCTCGGGCCACCGCGAGCGGTAGTTGGTGGACTGGGGCGGCCGCCAGCCCGGCGGGGTCGGCGCAGGAGCCGGCTTCCCATGACGGGCCGGGCGCCGGCCCTGATGCCCCTGCTGCGCTGTCCGCGCGGGGGCCGAGCCGCGCCGCTGCGACGAACCTCTCCTGCTCGACTTGTGGGCGGCGACGGGCTTCGTCCGGCGCCGTGAGCTCGCCGGAGATTGCCGGTTTCTGGACGGAACTCCCGCGTTAGGTCCGTAAGGAACTGGCCGCCGAGAACTTTGCGCCGGCCTCCGGTTGGAGTTGTGCGAAGTTCTCTTTTTCGCTCGTGCCGGCGCGGCTCGGCTGCCAGCTGCGGCTGTTCCCATGCGGTTCACGCCGCGGGCCGGTGACCGCTGCCGAGTGCGGCTCTGACCCCGACGGTACGCGCCGCCGGGAGTTTTGTTCGGTTTTCGCCACGATGCACTGGTTGCGCCCGAGCGCCGTGAGAACTGGTCATCTGGATTGGCTGGCCACCCATTTCCGTATCCATCGGAGCTGTAATCATTGCCGCCGGACTCGTAGTCATAGCCGCTCGAACTCTGCTCGTAGCCTCCCGAGTCGTATTCATACCCATTCTCATCATATTCATATCCATTGGATTTCTCACTATAACTGTTTGAATCGTATCCATAATCACTAGACTCCTGTTCGTAGTCGTAATCTTCAAAGTCAACAGTACCAGAGTCGTAGCCGTAGTCCTCACTGGGCGTCGGCGCCGGCTGCTGGCTGGCCCCGCCCGTCTTGGGTTCATACCGGCCGATCACCGGGTTATACTCGGTCTCGGCCACTATGTCATCCTTTCCTGGCGCTGTCCTGCCGGCAGGCGTGTCGGCCAGCACCGTCGGCATCGTGCTGATGACCTTATTGCCGTCCACCTCGAACAGAACGTTCCAGTATTTCTTCTCGAAGAAGGCATCCGGGATACCGGTGAACTGGTTGGCGCCCGGCTTCTTGGCCACGTAGATCTCCACAATGGTCTGCGAGGCGAACTGGAAGCCGAAAAACTCGCGGAATGTCGGCACGAACAGCTGAAAAGAGAAACGGAATGTAAGACTGACTGCAGTCGAGGGATCTATGTAGGGGAGGTGCAGCACAGGAGGGAAGGAAATACTTAAGTGAGAGAATGACAAGTGGAAAGACAGACAAACAGAACGCGACAGACCGACAGACTGACAGACCGACAGACCGACAGACCAACAGACCGACAGACCGATAGGCTGACAGACAGACAGTCTGACAGACCGACAGACCAACAGACCGACAAACAGTCCGACAGATAGACCGACAAACAACCTGACAGACCGTCCGACAGACGAACAGGTCGACAGATCGACAGCCCGGTAAACCTAAAACGACATACAGACATCATCATGAAAATAGGCAGATACATTGACAGACGGACACTCAATATTTATGTCATCAACCACATTGCCGTCAAAAGCCAATCAGATGTATGTACCTATCTACCTTGTAATCCAAGAACTAACCCGATCAATGGGATCACATATTTTACAGATAGTGATGCAATGACTTTGGATGACATGGATGAACTAAATGCCATTGGATGACATTGGATGACATAGGGAAAAATGTGAGGGAAATTTTCGAAGAATAATTAGGTATGAACTAAATGCCAATTTACTATCTGGTCTGGTTTAGATTGAAAGGTTTGCAACGTTGTATGATCTAATTAAGAGACATATCCGAAATGGTTCTGGGGGCTGTTGAGCTCACGATTGATATCGCACCTTTAGGTACAATTAGGTTGTCATGATTACTCTCGCGACATATGCTGGGTTTCTTTTGCTATTGAAGGCTATCTTTTTTCAACGTCGAATAAAAGGCTAAGACGTGAAGGCATATGATAAGAACTGCCATTTGGCCGAGTGAGTTGAGTTAAGTTGGCATAGTTAGGCTATTAAAGTATCGCTAGCTGGTATTTTTAGAAACCAACGAGAGATCCGGAGCATTAAATGACATGTACTCTATTTCTATTGCGAGTGATTTCCAGGGTTTATTGAATTAGGAGTGATTTCATTATTTTAATTCAATCCAACGCATCAATCTGAATGCCATGTACCTTATAACCTTTGCATGACCCACTAGAAACTCGACGGAGAAATGCCGTTAGATAATGGAGCAGCATCTTTGTGTCTAGGATTACTTTGATACAGCGGAACAACAAGATAATCGGTCAAACTCCCAGAATCACAATGCTCAAGCTCGTGACTCTTCATCTCCGTCTAAACTTGCATTGCATTCTACGTACACGCTCGATCTTTTCCGTTGCATCAAACCATTTATCACGCTTCGCGCCGCTGAGGCCAGCTCTCGCTCCTTCGCTATTGCCGAGGTTTCAAACAAACTATTGATACTTATGTAGTGGAAAATATAGTTGGGAAAATAGTCCAACTGTAACATCGCAGCCCAATGCAATGGAAAGATGGGGAATACTGAGACATATAACGCACATTTAAAGACAAATGTTTAGGTATTTTTGTTGTTTTGTCAAATTTCCTATCCGGAAGCCACCGTCACCATTTATGGTGGGAGCTGAGAAAGCCTAGCGACCAAGTGCATTGGAAGCTGAAGCTCCATGAAATATTATTACTTGGTTACCGGATTCAGTCTTTGAGGGCAAATACATTGAAAACAATTAGCTGTCGGTGTTAGAACACGTTCTTTGACGGCACGACATTCCTCCTGTGGGTCTGGCTTTCCTTGCTGTCTTTCTTTCCGCACTCATCCCTTTCCCCACCCTCCATGCACCTCCACCCCTGTCCCCTGACACTCACCCTGAATTTGAACGTCCGCACCGGATGGTAGTAGGAGGTGGGCGACAGCGGGAACGCCGCTGGGCCCAGGAACTGCTGGCCGTAGTCGGCGTAGTCGGCCGGGAACGGCTGCTGCGGGAACGGGTTGGACACAGCCGCGATCGGCACGTTGGCCCCGTCGAACACGTCGTGCGCCGCGTCCATGGCCGCCTGGCTGAACGGCACGCCGAACGAGCCAGTCGTCATCGACGGCAGCGGGTTGGGCGGCGGCGGCGGCGGCGGCGGCGCCGGCGCGGCCGCGCCCGGAATCTCGTGCGGATCTGGCGGCGGCGGCGGCGCGGCGTGAGGATCCGCCACGGGCGCGTCGAAGGCGTGCGGGTCGGGCACGTGTGGATCCGGCGGGGCGTCTAGCACGTGCGGATCGGGTGGCGGCGGCGCGTGCACGTCCTCCATCACCGGGTGAGCGTCCAGCATGGCGTCGTGCAGGTCTCCAGGCGCGGAAGCGGTCTCCAGGGTAGCCAGCTCATCCTCATGAGCCTTATTCTGCTGTCCGGCCTGCATCAGCACACTGAGAGGCACACCGTTCTCCTGGAGGAGCGCCTGCAGCTCGGCAATCTCCTGCTCGGTTGGGATCAGATCATCGGGCAGTCCGAGCAGCGCCTGCAGTTCGGCGGTGCTCAGCTGGGACAAATCGGGCACCTCCTCGGCGCCGCCCATCCTGTGCTGGATCGGCGGCGGGAACACGTGGTGCAGCATGCGCACCACGCGAAGTGAGGCGGGTAGCGCGCACTCGCAGCGGCCGGGCCCTGGTCCGGAGCGGCGAGCGCTGACCGATGCCAGTGACGGTGCGTTGGAGGCGCTGTACTGGTTGACGCCGTACCAGGCTGAGAGGGCCAGCATCAGCAGGCCGGAGGGCACCACCAGCCAGCCGGCTGTGGACAGAGACAGAAACACGAGGTCAGACTAAAAAAAAAAAAACAGAGACAGGGTCAGAGACAGAAACACGAGGTCAGAGACGGAAAGACACAGGCCGGACGGCACCTCCAGCCAGCCGGCTGTGGAAAGAGAGACGAGGTCAGAGACGGAGACACTGGGTCAGAGACAGAGACATAGACATAGAGACACGATCAGAGACAGAGACACGGGGTCAGAGACAGGGACACGGGGTCCGAGAAATTATTTTCATTCACTTTAAGCAGGCATGACTTGAAAACGTCCTGCGACTAGGAAATTATTTTCAGCTCATCAAAAGGTCTACCTTTGCAGCCTAAGGTGTCGAATGTAGTCCTATTCATTAGGTAATGATAAAAAATCATAATACTTCAATTTCTTTCTAAACCAAAGTAGTAGGTAGTTCACGCTTGCCAATCACCAACGGACCGTCACAAACGGACAAACAACCAAGCATGGCTGCAAGTGGCTGTTGAACGTCTACATAGGTTCGTCATGCTGCATTCCATTATCTGTTGTTGGTGGCAGTGTCAATCTGTCCAGTGACTCCAATAGGTCGTTGTGCGATTTATCACAAACACGTCCGAATGCTACGTGGTGTCTTCTTTTCTCAGAGAAGTCGAGCAGCCCTGAAAGCATTTCGTTATAGCCTATAGGTGCTATCACTTCAAGGCATGAATGAGAAATAGATCAATGGTGCCTGCGAAGAAAATGTTGCAACCAGACGGCAGATATGTGGGTACCTAATGAACTTCCACTTGAACCTCGCTACGGGATATGTCTGAGACGCAATAGCACAGTACGCTCTCACCGGTACAGTGAGGTGAACATAATGAATAATCGATGACAAGAATCACCCAGGCAGATATCAGTTCCGGCTTCTCCGAACGGTGTGCGTACATATAACTTCGATTGATATGGATACCTTCTGCTCTATTGTGCTAACTGACGCAGGCACTGGCAGTGATACTTGCTATTACGAGTACAGCCACGCCAACTTTCCATGAGCTACATGAATGACGCACTCTATTATTCGCCCCACGGAAAGTGCGCTTATGGGGTTAATGTTGATCAGATACGTACCAATTCCAAGAGAAAAGCAATACAGCCGGCTATTCGGTAAGCACCGGTCACGAGGCAGAAGGCGGGATGGCGGCCGGCGAAGAGGTAAAAATATATCTAACAACCGTCGACTCGTGCGTTATCTGCGGCGGAAGCCATCGATCCGGGATGGCGCCACTCGGTGTCAGCCGCCGGCCGCGGGCAGTCGAGGACGGAGAACTATCGTCCAGGACGGTACCGAGGCTCCAGTGGGGTTTACAGGGCTGAGAGAGCCGGCTCGGCCCACGCTGAGGTCTGAGAGACTGTCTCTGTCTGCCCGGCACGGACACAGAATGTGTCTGCAGCCTCAGCTCACGCTGGTGGATGATAGGCATATAGCGTGTCCACTGTCCACGCTGAGGACTGAGAGGCACAGAACATGTTACCAGCAGACAGCCGCATTATGGGCCTTCGGCACAGCAAATACCCAAGGCTGCTGACGTCCACCGCCCCACAGCAGTGCTCGAGTACACTTTGAATGTGCCATTTTTGGCTTAAATATCGCAAAAATGAAGATATTGAATGATTGCTTGTCCCATGTTTGCTGGAAGTGACGATTACCGTAACGAGATATCCCACAATTATATTTCTAGTGCACATAATCTGCCTTTCCTCCACACACTTGCTCTTTTGGTTTCTCCATTCCATTAGAGCCGACGTCTTAACTCATAAGAAAATGAGACCAGGGAGATTTAAAGCCAATGCATCCGGTCCGGATGTGATTTACGTAAGCCACATATGTTCATTGTCGAGGCATAACTATCATGTACGTCGAGATATGCTGTAAATGAGATAGCTTTGATTCAGCAAAATGAATGCACCTACATAGAAAACGCCGAAGGAGACTAAGCATTGTGGGCGAGAGGAGTTGGAAATTACTCAGAGAAGATGAGAAGACTCACATACGACTTGGATACCGACTGCAAAAAAAGAACCTTACATACCAATCTGCACTCTTATTTCAAGAGAAGGTGCGCATCTTTGTCGTTCCTTTGACATATGGCTGCATCCTAGGAAAGAAATGCAAGCTACATTTTTGTGCAATTTACCTGAAATGTGGCAGGGGCCTATACCGTCGCTAATCGCTATAGCACGCAAATGTGGTACGTGACATAATTAACGGTCAACCGGTGTACCTATGACCCTTACAGGACTTCAAAGTTCAAAGAATGCTAGTCTTGAGTGGAATTGAAATAAAACCATACGATTAGCATTTGAATGTTTTATAGCTACGCATTTTCCCGAAACTCACGCGTGCGTAGCACGTCGTTTATAAAACAATCACCTCTCAAGGAACGAGGTCGTATAGCATGCAAGTTTATCGATCAAATTATGCCTGCAAAGATCTTCCTGCTGCAATTCTGCACCGCCAAACGACTAGACTTTTCACGGCGTGTCGTAATGATTACAAACGGGTCTGGTACAGTCGCCTAATCACCTAATCAATCATTTTACCGCAAATGGAATGCGATTTTTGGCATTCCGAACGCGTGGATCAATACGTCGCTCACACAGTAGTGATGCAGTGTGATAGGGTACTTTTACAGGTGCCGAGCATAAGATGTTCTGAATGAGGAATCGTGTACACTCGAGCACTAAACCGTGCTGTATTGGACTATTGATAAACACGCGCCTTCGTCGCCGAATCAGCTATGTTTGCATGGAAGCTTGCCCTAGCCATATAAATACGTTTTGAGTCATGTTTTGAGTTTGAAGCTTCAAAAGAAAGCTTCAGTAGAAACGTGAAGTACGTTAGAGAAATTGCGGATTCACAATGCCTTATGCCTGTTCCAAAAGTCGCCTCAATACCGTCGACATGTCATGTTTCATTCACCTTCTGGGAACCCATCCGCGGCGATTGCCGGAGAAACCAGGGCGGTACAAACGTGGTCACAACCGGGACACAGTGTGTCTCATTCACCGAGAATCCTGTAGTACAGGCCAGGGCAGTGAAGAGTCATCTTGCAGCGTATCTTGGCACTGAATTAGCCGTAGCAAATGTCTTGTCGGCGTACCAGTTGTTTTAACGAACGATTGATCGCTTGATGGCATGCGAGGCGGCAAGGTGGTCAATGGTCATGGTACTTTTTATTGTCGCCTGACATATCATGCATCGTAAAAATGTTTTCAACAGCTTCCTCATGCATTCTTCTCTCTAGAAGGTATTCTTCTCAATAAGGCATACGGTTTTCTCCCTTATAGCTTACATAGCTGTGTGTCATTAACTCATGCTATCTGAGTGATCCCTGTGATGTCAATGCCATCAAATAGTTTTTTTTCCATAACCTTAGCTGTTGAGTTATGACATGACCTGCTTACCGTGCCTAACACCAAATTTATATGACAAGGATGGCGTGCCTCTAATCCCTACCGTCTGAAAAATGAATCCAGGATATCCTCCTCTCGGTGGGTGGCAGGTCGACAGTGCGGTTAATTCGGTGAGTTCATCGGCCCGGTCTACAGTGCAGACAGGAGGGGATTGTGGCTGACAGTTGTGGCTGACAGGCTGACAGTCACACTGCTGTGTGACCTACCGATTGACAGCAGATCTGGGCAATAATCACCACCACTAGATACACGTGGTCGAGAAGTTAACCCGCGCGGGGCTGGGGTCTCCAGCCGAACGCGCGGGGCTGGGGGGGGGGGGTAAATTTTACCCCCCTGTTATCTCCCGAACTAATGGTCCGATTTGGAAAATTCAAACGCCAATCGAAAGCTCTCATCACGAACTACTAAAAACATGTACTTTATTTTAAAGTTTGAGGTCAAGGTCAAGGTCAGGTCAAGGGTACAAATTGCAAGTTTCTACAGTATCGGCCTTGCACCGTAGTTGCCGAAGAATGGAGTCATGGACTGAGACTGATCGCCCAAAACGTGTTCTTAGGCTACCAAGACAATATTCGTTGCATACAATATCATTCAGAGGTCAAGGTCAAGGTCACGTCAGGTCAGGTCAGGTCACCAAAAAACAAAATATAGAAAAGGGCATGTGCGACACATGTTTTATGGGTCATTTTACTCATAGAATTCAATAGGCACACTCAATAAGTGATATGGACCACCTCTGGATGAATTTCAGGTCGAGGTCAGGTCAAGGTCAGGTCAAGTGAGGTCAAATTTTGAAGTTGGTTGTTAATGCTTAAAAAGGTGTCTATCTGATGCAGTTTTTCACGGCGAATCGAATGGTGCTATTTTTGTTTCCGTACGAGATCTAGAACTTCCAAAAAAGTCATTTTTTAAAAATTTTGTGTGTCGTGACGTCATAAAATTTTGAATAACTCCCACATTTTTGAACCGATTCTTCTAAAATTTGGTATGTAGGTGCACATAGACCACTTCTCTGACATATATTCCGGTTTTTTCGATAGACTCAAAATTTTGGATTTTATAATGATTTTCCCAAAAAAGTCAGTTTTTTTTTAAATTTAGGCCAAAATCCAAAATTTTCAAAAAACCGAGATAGCCATTTGATAGACAAAATAAAATTACGTATAACCCTTTTTGTTACGTCTTGATTTCTTTAAAAATGAAGATGTTAGCGGCGTTTGAACTTTTGCCGTTTTTGAGGCGAAAATGGCGAACATGACGTCACTAAAACGTCAATTTCTCAAAAAATTTCCGACGGATTTCGCTCAAATTTTCAGGGAGCGTGTCAGATTGATGTAAGAAAAGGTACTGAAAGTTTGGCGGCGCTGCGCGCCGCCGTTTTTGAGATATCGCAAAAATTCGCGAGGGGGGTAAAATTTACCCCTCCCCAGCCCCGCGCGGGTTAAAGGCTGTCTTCTCCGGTCACTGGGGACATAAGCTGCAGGAATCTCACTTATAAGTGCTCTCTGAGGTTGTCATGTAGACGAAGGCCGTTTACTTACGTTTGAATCTTCCACTCATCAACCTCAGTCGCTTATCAAACATTGAGTACATTCATTGATGTTGTTTTGTATAGGCTTGGTAGGGCTTGAGTCCTACGAATAATTTCGGGATTTTAGTATGACTCCTATGGCACTGCATGATGAAAATGACTTAGATATCATAAAAGTTACCATCCTCCCAATACATTTCGGAATGTCACGCCCGTGGGCTATTGTTCTTAATTCTTATGACACAGAACTATGCACTACAAACTGTGTAGTGCGTCATGCTGATATGTTATTCTATCTAACCGTTGCTTATTTTATGTTTTGTCAAAATAAGTTGATGAGAATTGTGCAATGTAAGTATGTACAATGCACCATGCAATATTTCAAAAGCATTTCACAGTAAAAGGGAATCTTCTGTTACCGTGTTTTGGCGATGCTATCTGAGATTTGTGACAACGCTACCTTAGAATTCAAAGTCACCCACATACTATACAATGCCACACTGATGCAACTATTCACTACTCAGCTGTCATACCAGCTAAGACAGTCGTTATTTACTACTTGAGCCGAGTCGCGATGTCTTTGGCTAATGCCCTATTGCACGGGAACCGGTCTATGATCATGTTCAAGAAGTAGGATATAATCATTCGTCAGTCCGGCCAGTTTTCCTAGAATGTGTACAGGATCTCATATCATCTTAAATCTGGCACACTATGGCACATAAGCCGGTAAAAATGATCATTAGAAAGCGCCGGAGTTCCCGCAGCCGAGACAATGCGGAGATAAGCCGAGAGAGATGGCACATCCGACCTGAGGACCTGGTTCATCTGCGACCCCTCCCCGGCAGTGCCCTTGTTTTGTCGGTCGCCATTCTTCGTCCCAAATCCCGGCGAGGTTGGCTGTGCTGGTGACTGGGAGAGGCGCCGCCGTATGATCGGAAGGGAGGACTCCATCCCTCCCGGAACAGAGACTCTGAATACGACCCCACCCTCTGTTGAGACGCCGCATTACTGCCGCCGGGTCGCCGATTGGGTACAAAGACACGGCTCTGACCCGATCATATTACACACCTTCTGACGAACGTGTCGCGTAATGATCCGTCCGTCTCATCACGCCCTTATTTCTCTTTCTTTCATTGCTTATTTATCTGTCTTCCTCTCTGTCTCTGCATCTCTCTCTCTCTCTCTCTCTCTCTCTCTCTCTCTCTCTCTCTCTCTCTCTCTCTCTCTCTCTCTCTCTCTCTCTCTCTCTTCGGCTCCTTCACTCTTTACATCATTTGTATCATTACTGTCAACGGATTGAAGCTCGCACCATTTTTGGCTTATCATTCTCTCTCAGTTGTATAGAACTGATGGCATATTTTAATGCGTGCTTACATTCACGTTTGCTAACTCAATAATTGAATATTTGCGTGCTGTTGGACGTGGTAGAAAAATAATAGCATGGGCATTGAGTTGTCATGATTATCCAACGCCACTAGCTAAGTGCATAGGCTCCGTGCTATAGGCTAACTCGGATCCGGACTACCTACCCTTGATTGGTCTGCTAAAATACTCCGGGGAGCTTTGTTGGACACAGTGCTGTTACCGTTTCAAATGCATGCATAATTGAATGGGCATACCGTGAGGACGTGCCATTAGCAATCAGATTAGGCACGGCACTCAAGAAAATATGCTGTTTCTAAATAAGCCGAGCCAAATTGTATTATACAGCTTGCATCTAAGCCGGGTATAAGTGCAACGTACATACCTAAAGAATAAGAGACTAAAGGCACAATGTTACATGGACAGAGAGAGAGAGAGAGAGAGAGAGAGAGAGAGAGAGAGAGAGAGAGAGAGAGAGAGAGAGAGAGAGAGAGAGAGAGAGAGGGAGAGAGAGAAAGAGAAAGAAAAAACTATGCGTTGGCTCCATCACGTGCCGCGGACATACGTGGTATCATTGATGACGTGCACTGCAAAAAGCGGCTGCTGCTGGGAGCTAGGGAGTGATTGTTATCTGTCCAGAGGTCTCACTATCGCTCCAGCACAGGTGAGTGCACGATGGGGAAACTTACCGGGACGACAATCGATTGCCTTCAGTGATCCAGACGCTGTGCCGCGAAATTTTCTGAACCTGATAGATCGCCGGCCATGCGAGCTGCCTGCCACCGTCTATATGGGTTCACAGACTACGGCGGCCCTCTCGTTTGGCAACGATTCCTACGAAAGAAATACTAGTCTATGCGGTGTTGATTTCAGTTTTTTGTCCATGCTTTCTACTGAAGTGATCATTATACGATAGTCGGTATACCTCGCTTGCTTCAGTCTAGCCTTAGGCGTACCCAATCCATAAGATAAAATGCACTATACGATGGACGAAGTACAACTTTGTAAAATAATAACCATAACAAATGCAAACAAAGTTAGAGAATGACTTCAAAGTTGCAGAAGCAAGGGCACTAGTCGTGCAGTGAAGATCGATACCAGTTTAGCTTCTGGCATGAGTTTTCATTTTGTCAGTCGAGCATAATGTATCTAAAACCAATTTTTGAGCTGCAGAAGTGCAGAGTGCAGACACATTTTTTCTTTTCATTTTTCGCTGAGACAAGATGGAACCACTAATGATTGACAAAGTTCAGACTCCTAAAAAATTGTAAGGCTTATAAGAAAGATTGCCCTGAATAATGAATCGCATTCCAGCTTTCACCATGTGCCACAAAAATCCTCTTGACGCAGGTTTTAACGGTGAATGACATGATCAGATGATATAGTCTTGTGATTAAATAATCACATAATTAAATGCATGGTAAGTGCATAATTCCTGACATGCATAATGAGCTCTGGAGTTGCGAAACGGAGTTTTACCGGGCCCAGACATAGAGGCTGTTGAAGATAACGTCCTCCATTTCAGCTTCTGTCATTCTCTTTATTAATCCTTGCTGGACCTATCCGTTTTCTATATAGCTACCTAGGCCTAGGGGAGAGGTGGGCAGAACATACAAGTCGTTTCAGTGGCGTAACCACCTTAGCGGACAGTGCGGAAAGTCCACACCATTTTTTATGGGCTCCCTCTCTGTTCTCTTTTAATATCTATATATTTGCCGCAAACGGCGCACCGCCTCTGAAAAAAGTTACACAAACGACTCTTCCGCTACCAAGGCGATCGCATGGAGGCGCCCCTATAAGCTACATACCCCATTCCCATAGGCAATGGCACCCCCTTGGGCGATCGCGCCCCTTTGAGGGATGGCGCCCCCTCAGTTTGTCCGCACCATTTTTTTGAGCGTGGTTACGCCCCTGCCTAATCAGTGGCGGATCCAGGGTGGGGGGGGGGGGGAAATGGGCATTTGCCCCTCCCAAACGGCATAATTTTAACATTACGCCTATGGATTATTATTATTATTATTATTATTATTATTATTATGAACGAGGCATGGAAAGAATCGATAAATTTTTATGGTTTGCCCACCCCCCCAAAAAAAACTCTGAGCTGGATCCGCCTCTGTGCCTAATGGAGCTAGAGCCTCGAGGGAGGATGAGCGTGTGCCCCCTTTAGAGACGCAGCAACTGGTACTCACGACTTTTAGGTCTCAGGCTATAACCGGTGATCTCTATAGGGTCAGGTCAACACCCCCGAGGTGTCTGGTGTTTGGCGAACTTATCCAACTTCGCCAAAAATGGTCAAGATGTGATTTCGGCACCATCATAGTGGCATGACCAGGCTGTCGAATCGTATACGTTTCTGGAAAATGATAAGTTAATGTGTTAACCTTAGGTAAGAGGTGGTCAGTGGTCATGACTTTTCATATCACGCAGTTGATCAAAAGAGATCAATATCATCTTGCATATCATTTGATTCGGAATATTTTCCTGAGTCCATGGGTGCCGCTCTCCCGATTTGCTAGCTCAATTTGATCGGCAATTGATTACGAGTAACTTCAATAACCTTACCGATAACCTCTCATGACCGATGACCCAAAACGTGTAAAACTAAAAACGCCGAAGTCATCTGAAGTAGGCGGGGCTAGGCGTAAAATTGATGGACCCGTGGGTGCTGAAAGTTTCGTCATGATCTGCCGCTTTTACGCGAGTCATTTGTAAAAACTAAAGGGGTCCATTCGACCGTGTGAGAAAGTTGGATGGAATTCTGCAGTGGTTTATAAATAACATGTAGACTGTTACTTTTCATACAAAAGGATCACATGTCGATGTTTTTGTTTATTATGTAAATCAAATTGACCGTTACCGAACAAAAATATCAACTACAGGTGCGCATTGTTGCGCAATGGTGTCAACATTGCACTGCTTTTATCTCCATGCACTGAGGATTCGGTCGAATAAGTTCCTTTTCTCCTTGGCCAGAACTTTATCTGGGAAATCATTGTCATGCGTACCTCAGGGCCAATGAATGTCAACCGGAGCACCCATACATCGACTTAGTCAATGGCATGCACACTTCCTTAGCGACAAGTTTAAGTACTCACCAACCATGGTTTTGCGAGCTCAAAGAGCCGCAGCCGGCTCTGTGAGTCGCAGCTCAGCCCCTCTGACTCGCTGATGGTAGTCCGTGAGGTGTCACTCAAACCGTGAACCGCCACTGCTGGTCGTGAGCACTGCTAGTCGGGAGGTACCACCGTTCACGGCCACTGTTTTGACTTGACGTCTGGGTGCACAATGGAGGCTGATCCCTCACCGCTCTCTGTTCACTGCGCTTCCGAGACCTCCCGTGACCCTCGGCCAGTTTCCGTGACCCTCGGTCAGTTTCCGTGACCCGGTGAGTTCCCGTGAGTCGCCGCTGAGTTCCGTGAGCAGCGGGACCGTCTCACGCCACACCACAGCCTGCTCAGCACTGTAGGCTCATCTCCGAGTCGGCCCGTGCCTCCTCCGTCGAGTCTGGTGCCGGGGCAGGTCAGGCCGGTCCCGGGATCTATGCCACTCGGCGTCGAACGCCGGTACGGTACAGCCCCCCCCCCCCCCGCCCGACGGAGGATCGTCTGCCGCCGCGGGGGGCGCGTGCTGGCCACACAGTGACGAACCGGACAGGTGGGGGGGGGGGGGGGGGGGCAGACACTAACGGGTGCCGCCACTCGCGGCCGATCGAGGGAGCCGTGTGAAACAACGCGTGCGAAACGGGTTTGCAAACTATACGGCTAACACCGCGATGTGATGGGTGTGTGTATTTTTAACACACGCAGAAAGAATGGATTAAAGAGCCGGAATGTTAGGGATAATTGGGCTACCGTATACACACGTGGCGTGTCAGTTTCCGTTTTTCTTTTCCAGACAGCTAAATCGTCGTTATTTGGAGAAAGTTGTCAGAACACGTCATAAAATGTCCGAGAAAATATACGGAAATGACAACTGATGATACATGCTCGCGTGCCTGGCGTATAACGACGTAAAAATGCTAATCAGTGTACAAGGAAATGTGGACCGACGGCTACCACAGGTGGGAACAGCAACAGAAATATCGGAGCTTATGTCAATTATCGTAATCTGATTTAGAGAATGGACGATGAAGAACAAAGATGTGCCCAAACGATGTTACTTAATTGGTAGTAATTCTAAAGAAAACCATCGGCTTTTACTGAGACACAGGATTAGGAAATGAAACATGAAAGGGCATTTAAAAGCTCCCGTATGTAGAATGTAGATATGCGGCCATATCCACGACATATCGAGCTGTCGCCTACGGTTTGCTTCGCTATACTCTACATAAGCCACAGAGTATGTAGTCGATCCCAAAAAAGTACATATAGGTAGGTAGGCTTCTAAAACGAGTCAGAAGATGATGAATATCATAGAATAGGCATCTAAATGGATGATGACCTGTGAGTCAACTCACAAGAGAGGTCAGCCTCGACCCTTCAAAAGACAAATGCTTGTTACGCATGGAACGACATGTTAAATTGTGAATATTCGAGTATCTATGAGGGTATGTCATACATATTCATATGAAGCCACAGAAACTTCCTTAGCCATTTTGGTTTGCCCTATGACGTCACAGGAAGGTAAAAAGGTCAAATTGTACCAATTCTTTTTGGCAAACATTGTATTACTGAAGTGACTTTGATCATAAAAAAGAGACGTTAACGGTCATAGGTATTTAGTGAGTGTGAGATGGGTAAGTATTAAAATACTAACCCTTAACTAATTTCAAGTACAAATTCTGAAAACAGTGTGAAGTCATAAAAGCAGTCTCCATTTTTTTAGTCTTTTAACCCTATTAGTGGCAGGGGGGGTTGCTTTTATCCACCCCTCAGGTTTTTCGGGAATATCTCCGAAACCGCTGAAGCTACGATGCTGAAATTTTCTGACTTTTCCTAAAACTAAATTGGGCACATTCCCTGAAAATTTCAAGTTCATAACTTTACCAGGGGCGGCTCCAGAGCACTGGGAATTGGGGGGTCCTATTCGTGAAGCGAGTCATTTGGCCGAAGATCACGATGCTGCACCAGTTTTACGAACAGTGAATGAAAGGTATCATGTGATAACATATACAGTTATTGTGCATCCTCTTTTGACACGTTTTTGCTATAATAGGCGGATCCAGGCGTCCAAAAAGGGGGGTTATGTTTTACCTCCCAACATAGGTGCCCTGACACCGCCTATGCAAGAATAATACAATTTTAGTCGTTTTCATGTAAGAAAATTGTAACATAACAAGACCATTGCCACCCTTTTTAGAAACAGTACCAACAAAAACCTTATTTACTATACTTTTTGTGTACCCCCAATCTCAATTATCTGTATCCGCCTATGATTTTTGAAAATGCATATTTTTAGGATCCATGTGAATTCTTGGTTCATTCTCTATCGATCGGCAAAAGTTGCGTTAAGATTGGTTCAGAAACCTGGCCGTGATAAACAGTCTAAAATGTATCTGCAATTTGCCCGTTTTTACCCCCCTCTACCCCCCTATTGACATTTTTTTAATTTTTATTTTTTAGAAATGTAGATCACGTTGAGCGAAATCGAATGCCGTTTGAATTTTGAAAATCGGCCCGTTAGATCTCGAGATATCAAGGGGGGGGTCGTAAACAGCCCCCCCCCTGCCACTAATAGGGGGTAGCCAGGAGCCTGCCACTAATAGGGTTAAGTTGCTATATCTCTACATAGGAGGTTTAAATGTTTTGTTGATTTTTGGAAGGTAGTATTAAGGCAGAAAGGTGCTTTCTGACACTCATTCTGTTTTTAGAATTTTTCCAAATTTCACAAATATCTCAGGCAATCAAAATTTCGAGCTGGAAAATTTCGAGATTTTGTCTTTTATTTTGGAAATTTCGAGATAGCCATTTGATTTGCCATGCTTTTTGTATATAGGTACCTACGATCATACGATGTAATATTTGAGTCTCCGGGTTGATAAGCTGATTTCTGAAGAATATACAAGGGCAACTAATAAACAAGGGTAATTGACTACCTGAGCCTAGATATGTGCACCTAGAAGGTATGTACAGCCCACCGCTAAAGTAATGTAGGGTTTTACCAATCTCAACGGTTGGCTTTGACTGGCGATTGTTTACTGCGGAGTGATCGAAAAGAAGATGTCAATAGCTAAAGTTGCAGCTGCAAGGGTGACGATACATATAAGCTACATTCAAAGTTCCATTGTAGTCTGGCTAATCGTTCCTAGGCTTCAGAAGCAGAACATACCCATGACTGAAACCACACATTACTTCTGCTGTGGACTGTACTTACCTACATACATCGTCGGCATGACGTGGTCTCACGTTGCCGAGAGGCAGGATCCACGCGATTCCCTGGTGGAAAACGGACGAACCTCCGCCGACTGCCATCGCCGTGAGGTGGCACCGAGAATCATGTTACTTGGTGTTCTTGACTTTTTATGCACACTGTGGTCCTGCAAGGCCCTATATACCCTGTGTTCTAGGCTCTACATAGATGGCAAGGGCAAAGCCAGGAATTTCCGGCTAGGGGCCAATAACATGAGGGATATTAGGGATATTCACGTAGGGAATATCCCTAATATGTATATATTCCCATCAACATATTCCCGTCCGACGGGATGATCTCTGCCGCTGCCGTGCAGCATCGGTGGTCCACGCAGTCTAACGTCTACGCCCTACCCTATCATCTCACAGCTCTGAAATGTCATTTCAAATGATAAAATGACAAGTTGTTAACTGTTCAGGTCGAAAGAGCTTGCTCCAAACAAAACAAAGGAAACAAGACCTGACTTTGGTTCGCTCCAAAAGACTGTTGCATTACCCTTTCAGCGACTATGCCGTGGTCTTGCCAATAGCTGGCACTCACCTGCACCTTCACCAAAAGTTATCGATATCACACTTTGTCAGGGGCACAGGAACTACTTTCAGACTAGATGGGGGGGGGGGGCACACCATAATAGAGATCGACCTAGGGTACCCCCAAATCTAGTTTTCTCACCGGTTTTAGGCCGTTTATTTTTCATTCCTTAGCTTTTTCAACAAAAAAGAAAACATTTGCAAAAAAGTGCGGTATTCCGTCTCAAAGTTTTGGGGGCACCACCCCCACGGCCTCAGAGTGGGGGGGGGGGGCAAACTGCCCCCACTGCCCCCCCCCCCGTTCCCGCGCCTATGCTTCCTGTGAAAACATAAGCCCATGCTCAGCACCCACATCGATCACACAGACCGACCAGGTTGACAGTGTCAAAGACGCGTGTCGGCGCTTTATCCAGGCCCTGCCGCTTGACCCTTGGGTCATGCAGCAGCAGGTGTGCCAGGCGGGCAAATGCCCCACTGTTTGAAGGAGCTAATGAGGTCGTCCGTATTGTCATACTCAGCAGCTAAAGCCATTCTAGGCCTCGTTTGCTGCGGGGGTCACGCCTGCCCTGTCTCAAGTGCCGTGTACTTATTTCCGTTGATGGCGACTAAATAGCGTTGCCTTGGAGAACCATTGATCTTTTCTTTACCTCCTCCCCCCCCACCGTTCTGTACATTATAAAGCTATTGTTATGATGAACAACGCCTGGTAACGCGCAGGGCGCTGCATAGGGCCCGGCGCACTGTTGCATCAGAGAGCACTCCAGTGCAGACGTAATCCCTGGCGCTTAGCTTGAATGGCCATTCGGATGTAGGTAAGTGAAACCTTACTCACAACATTCAATATCTTTAAGTTTATCTAAGGGTTAGTTTGAAAGGTAAAGAAATTGGAAACGGGACTTGGAAATCAACGTTGTCCGTCTATGTCTAGGTGACTACTATGAACGTCAAACCCCTTGAGACCCCACTTTTTTGCGATAATTTTTAAATGCGTCAACTTTCGTTGACAATATTCTGGCAATGTATGTTTCAGAACCTGCCGAAACTTTTATTACTAGGGTTGACTATTAAGTAATGGAAGTGCCTTAAGCAATTAAACGTTTTTGCACGTGCACATGTTTTCTTGGTGTCATTTCATGCGCCGATGTTTTTTCTATCCAATGGTGAAGACCACATGTCCTTAGCTACTTCTTGCTCCAAGCTATCGTCGTTTTCCCAAGAGACCACCCGAACCTGCGGCGCACCATGAAAAAGGAGTCTGGCAATGGCCAAAATCGCGCGCCAAGCGCCAGCGCGAGGTCATCAGAGCTTATTGGCTTATTGTTATGGCTACACAATGGACAATTTCTATATTTTCATCAAAACAATACACATTGGCACGATAAATGACAGCATACACTACTCCACATAATCGCCTTCAAGCATCACACACCATTCCAGCCTCGTCTTGACCCACTCCTGGAACGCCGCCAGAGGACTGATCGGCGCTTTCTTTCTCAAACCGATGAAACCACCGACATATCGTCTGTGGGGAGGCTGCGTCGCTCCATACACTTAGAAAAGAAATTTTCTGATATTGGTAGGCCTTTTCCTTACGACAAACTGAGCTCTAATGACCTTGCACTCGGCGCTGGCGCGCGGCTTTGGCCATTGCCAGGTGGTGCGCCACAGGTTCGGGAGGTCTCTTGGGAAA